TGGATAAGAGCGTCTGCTAAATGACTAAAATGTAAATGTAATGTAAAGGAAAGAATGAATGGGGCCATGTATCGTGAGATTTTGAGTGAAAACCTCCTTCCATCAGCAAGGGCATTGAAGATGAAACGTGTCTGGGTCTTTCAGCATGACAATGATCCCAAACACACCGCCCGGGCAACGAAGGAGTGGCTTCGTAAGAAGCATTTCAAGGTCCTGGAGTGGCCTAGCCTGTCTCCAGATCTCAACCCCATAGAAAATCTTTGGAGGGAGTTGAAAGTCTGTGTTGTCCAGCGACAGCCCCAAAACATCACTGGTCTAGAGGAGATCTGCATGGAGGAATGGGCCAAAATACCAGCAACAGTGTGTGAAAACCTTGTGAAGACTTACAGAAAACGTTTGACCTGTGTCATTGCCAACAAAGGGTATATAACAAAGTATTGAGAAACTTTTGTTATTGACCAAATACTTATTTTCCACCATAATTTGCAAATAAATTCATAAAAAATCCTACAATGTGATTTTCTGGATTTTTTTTTCTCATTTTGTCTGTCATAGTTGACGTGTACCTATGGTGAAAATTACAGGCCTCTCTCATCTTTTTAAGTGGGAGAACTTGCACAATTGGTGGCTGACTAAATGTATATATATATATATATATATGTGTGTGTGTATATATGTGTGTGTATATATATATATATATAAGCATAATGTTTCCACCTCCATGTTTGACGGTGGGGATGGTGTTCTTGGGGTCATAGGCAGCATTCCTCCTCCTCCAAACACGGCGAGTTGAGTTGATGCCAAAGAGCTCAGTTTTGGTCTCATCTTACCACAACACTTTCACCCAGTTCTCCTCTGAATCATTCAGATGTTAATTGGCAAACTTCAGACGGGCATGTATATGTGCTTTCTTGAGCAGGGGGACCTTGCGGGCGCTGCAGGATTTCAGTCCTTCACGGCCTAGTGTGTTACCAATTGTTTTCTTGGTGACTATGGTCCCAGCTGCCTTGAGATCATTGACAAGATCCTCCCGTGTAGTTCTGGGCTGATTCCTCACCGTTCTCATGATCATTGCAACTCCACGAGGTGAGATCTTGCATGGAGCCCCAGGCAGAGGGAGATTGACAGTTATTTTGTGTTTCTTCCATTTGCGAATAATCGCACCAAGTGTTGTCACCTTCTCACCAAGCTGCTTGGCGATGGTCTTGTAGCCCATTCCAGCCTTGTGTAGGTCTACAATCTTGTCCCTGACATCCTTGGAGAGATCTTTGGTCTTGGCCATGGTGGAGAGTTTGGAATCTGATTGATTGATTGCTTCTGTGGACAGGTGTCTTTTAAACAGGTAACAAGCTGAGATTAGGAGCACTCCCTTTAAGAGTGTGCTCCTAATCTCAGCTCGTTACCTGTATAAAAGACACCTGGGAGCCAGAAATCTTTCTGATTGAGAGGGGGTCAAATACATATTTCCCTCCTTAAAATGCAAATCAATTTATAAAATTTTTGACATGCGTTTTTCTGGATTTTGTTGTTGTTATTCTGTCTCTCACTGTTCAAATAAACCTACCATTAAAATTATAGACTGATCATTTCTTTGTCAGTGGGCAAACGTACAAAATCAGCAGGGGATCAAATACTTTTTTCCCTCACTGTATATGCGAGAAAAATAAAACATATGGGGGTTTGGAAGCTATGCAGACAATTACATTGATGGAAGTTACAATCTATCTGCAATATTAAAGCTGATCTACCCCCTAAAATAAAATAAATGTAAAATAAAAAAAAATTAAACGACGAGACAGCCTGTAGTGAGGAGGTGAGGGCCCTGGCAGAGTTATGCCAGGAAAATAATCTCTCCTTCAACGTCAAGAAAATGAAGGAGCTGATCGTGGACCTCAGGAGACAGCAGAGAGAGCACACCCCCATCCACATTGACGGGCCGCAGTGGAGAGGGTGAAAAGCTTCAAGTTCCTCAGCGTGCACATCACTGACAACCTGAAATGGTCCACCCACACAGACAATGTGGTGAAGAAGGCGCAACAGTGCCTCGTCAACCTCAGGAGGCTGAAGAAATTCAGCTTGGCCCCTAAGTCCCTCATAAACTTCTACAGATGCACCAACGAGAGCATCCTGTCAGGCTCTATCACCGCCTGGTACGGCAATTGCACCATCCGGAACCGCATCAAAGCTAGGACTGAGAGACTGATAAACAGCTTCTATCTCCAGGCCATCAGAGTGTTAAATAGTCACCACTAGCTGGCCTCCGCCCAGTACCCTGACCTGAACCTTAGTCACTGTTACTAGCCGGGTACCACCCGGTACTCTACCCTGCACCTTAGAAACTGCTGCCCTATGTACATAGTCATTGAACACTGGTCACTTGAATAATGTTTACATGCTGTTTTACCCACTTCATATGAATATACCGTATTCTAGTCAAGGCGCATCCTATATAACTACTTTACATACCTTTTCTATTCACATACTGTCCATACTGTCTATACACACCATTATATACATATATATATATATATATATATATATATATATATATATATATATATATATATAACTGTATACATATACATATGTATATACATATATATATATAATATATAATATATATATATAATCTATATCTCTATATATATATATATATATTATATCTATATATATATATATATATATATATATATATATATATACACACTGAGATGGTACAACCATTAGGAACACCTTCTTACTATTGAGTTGCACCGCCTGCTTTTGCCCTCAGAACAGCCTCAATTCGTTGGGGCATGGACTCTACAAGGTTTCAAAAGCGTTCCACAGGGATACTGGCCCATGTTGACTCCAATGCTTCCCACAGTTGTGTCAAGTTGGCTGGATGTCCTTTGGGTGGTGGACCATTCTTGACACACACGGGAAACTGTTGATCGTGAAAAACCCGGCAGCGTTGCAGTTCTTGACACACTCAAACCAGTGCGCCTGGCACCTACTACCATACCCCATTCAAAGGCACTTAAATATTTTGTCTTGCCCATTCACCTTCTGAATAGCACACATACACAATCCATGTCTCAATTGTCTCAAGGCTCAAAAATCCTTCTTTAACCTGTCTACTCCCCTTCATCTACACTGATTGAAGTGGATTTAACAAGTGACATCAATAAGGGATCATAGCTTTCACCTAGATTCACCTGGTCAGTCATGGAAAGAGCAGGTGTTGCTAATATTTTGTACACTCAGTGTGTATATATTTATATTCTGGACTCTGACATTGCTTGTTCTGATATTTTGTAATTTCTTTATTTTAATTTTTGGGGATTTGTGTTTACTGTTTTGTATTGTTAGGTATAACGGCACTGTTGGACCTAGAAAAATAAGCATTTCACTGCACCTGCGATAATATCTGCAAAATATGTGCACGCGACCAATAACATTTTATTCAATTTTTTATATGCTCCAGCAGAAGGGTGTTTTAATATCAGTAGTGATAAGCGGTTGCTAAGAGGTTGCTATGCGGTGGGGGCTGCATTCTGAAGAGGACAGGATTAACTTCTGAACGAGAGGAGATGTTCGTCATCATGCACCTCCAATATGTGTCCCAAATGGCATCCTGTTCCCTATATAGAGGACTACTTTTAATCAGGACCCATATGGCTCTGGTCAAAAGTAGTGCACTATATAGGGAATAGGGTGCCATTTGGGACACAAACCCAATCTACAGCCAGAAGTCTGCTAGCACCTCACAGCTCTTTACAGCACCTAACAGACAGGAGTACGGCATTACAACTGTGCCTGGAGGAAGGGCTTGTAGCCTTTTTGATTAATGGTGATACATGGAAATGGACTTGTAGAAAAGAGAGAGAGAGAGAGAGAGAAGGAGAAAAAAGCAGGCTGTCCAGAATATGCCATAACAACAGCTTTACACATGAATAGGGATGTGTAAACACAGTTTCCTTTTCTCTAAACACCCTGCCCTGTGTGTGTGTGTGTGTGTGTGTGTGTGGTGTGTGTGTGGTGTGTGTGTGTGTGTGTGTGTGTGTTTGTGTGTGTGTGAGTGTATATTCCAGTAGTAGCAGCAGTATTGTGTATATATTCCAGTAGTAGCAGCAGTATTGTGTATATATTCCAGTAGTAGCAGCACAGCAGTATTGTGTATATATTCCAGTAGTAGCAGCAGTATTGTGTATATATTCCAGTAGTAGCAGCAGTATTGTATATATATTCCAGTAGTAGCAGCAGTATTGTATTTATATTCCAGTAGTAGCAGCAGTATTGTGTTATATTCCAGTAGTAGCAGCAGTATTGTGTATATATTCCAATAGTAGCAGCAGTATTGTGTATATATTCCAGTAGTAGCAGCAGTATTGTATATATATTCCAGTAGTAGCAGCAGTATTGTGTATATATTCCAATAGTAGCAGCAGTATTGTGTATATATTCCAGTAGTAGCAGCAGTATTGTATATATATTCCAGTAGTAGCAGCAGTATTGTGTTATATTCCAGTAGTAGCAGCAGTAGTGTGTTATATTCCAGTAGTAGAAGCAGTATTGTGTATATATTCCAGTAGTAGCAGCAGTATTGTGTATATATTCCAGTAGTAGCAGCAGTATTGTATATATATGCCAGTAGTAGCAGCAGCATTGTGTTTTATTCCAGCAGTAGCAGCAGTATTGTGTATATATTCCAGTAGTAGCAGCAGTGTTGGGGGTGTGTTGACTTAATTAGATCTGTGAGCTGCTCATTTCCTCTCCCCAACACAAGTTGATTAGTGATACCAGCTGTCCCCGGTGTGTGTGTGTGAATGTGTGTGTGTGATTTCTGCATATGTGTAAATGTGTGTGAGTGTGTGTATGTCTATCTGCCATTCCCTTGCCAGCTGCCAGACCACACCATGCCAGTCCTCTACGATTACCACTGGCAACTGGATCCAGACTGGTGCCAACTACCACCCAGGAGACCAAGATGGCCGACCATGGTAATCCCCTAGTCTTTTCTACCCCTCTCCTCTCTCCTCCTCTCCTCTCCTCTCCTCTCCCCTCCCATCCTCTCCCCTCCTCTCCTCTCCTCTCCTTTCCTCTCCTCTCCTCTCCCTCTCCTCGTCCTCTCCTCTCCTCTCCTCTCCTCTCCTCTCCTCTCCTCTCCTCTCCTCTCCTCTCCTCTCCTCTCCTCTCCTCTCCTCTCCTCTCCTCTCCTCTCCTCTCCTCTCCTCTCCTCTCACTCCCCTCTCCTCTCCTCTCACTCCCCTCTCTCTCTGTATTTACCTGTGTATATGTACCATCCACGTGTTTTAAATTAAGGTGTATTTACCTGTGTATATGAAGCGTCCAGGCGTGCCCTTGCAGAACTGTTTAGACTTGTATGACAGCGTGACCTCTACAACCCCGGGGATGTGTCTGGGGGGAGTCTGCACCCGGATGGCGTTGGCTGTGATCAGCTACGGAGGGGGACAGGGGACATAAAAGGTTTTATTATTACATATGTACTTCACTTGTTATTACAGACCCCATAACATGTTCTATATCAAAGTGAAAGACATAGACTTATAAAGACTTACAAGAGCCATAGAAAATGTTCAGTTGACATGTAAGGCAGCATGTGGTTTATAAATGCACAAAAAACATCCAGATTGCCTTGGCTTTAGCTCAGAGGGCTAAGGCAGTGTTGAGCCATGGACTCACTGTATTTTGTTTGATTCTCTGTCGCACACACACACACACACACACACACACACACACACACACACACACACACACACACACACACACACACACACACACACACACACACACACACACACACACACACACACACACACACACACACACACACACGCACACGCTACTGACCTCGCTCCAGACCAGCATGGTACCAAATATGACCTGGAGTCCATCAAAGAAGTTTTCTCCTATGATAATGACTGTGGCCCCGCCTGTAGTCCAGCCCTCACTGGGGCTGATCGCCTTGATACAGGGAGTGGCTGAGGAGGGAGAGGGATGGGGGAGGGAGGGGGGAGGGAGGGAGGGAGGGAGGGGGGTGAGGGTGGAGGGGGGAAGGGGGGGGAGGGGAGGGAGGGGGGAGGGGGGGGGGGAGGGGTGAGGGGGGGAGGGGGAGGGACTGGGAGGGGGAGGGGGGGGGGGAGGAGGGACGGGTGGGTAGAGAGGGTGGGAGGTGAGGGAGGGGGGAGAGGGGGGAGGGGGAGGGAGGGAGGAGGGAGGGCGGAGGGTGGCGGCAGGAGGGGGAGGGGGGGGGGGGAGGTGGAGGGAGGGGGGAGGGTTTTTTAGGGGAGGTGGGAGAGAGAACAGAAATGTAGCTTTAACTCAGAATCAGGAATACAAGGTACAGTACAGTTTCTCCATTCTGATTGAAAAACTAAATTCTCCAATTCATAACTAGGCCTGCTGTGAGGCGTAATACTGGCCCCTGGACCTTATGATTACAGGCTTTAGATTACTGGATGAGATTGGAGAAAATAACAGCAGTGGAATTACAAATACATAATAAATAAAGGCTTAATCTCCTCTACTTTACAGATCCTCAGCTTGTCAGACATGATGTAATTCTCCAAAGCAGGGTAATCCACTTTATTACAGAATGACTTCTGCTCTTTCCCCGTCTCTCTCCTGCCTCTCTCTCCTCTCTTTCGTCACCCTCCTCTCTCTCCCTTATCCTTCCCTCTCCTCTCTCTCCCCTCCCTCCTCTCTCTCCCCTCCCTCCTCTCTCTCCCCTCCCTCCTCTCTCTCCCCTCCCTCCTCTAACTATCCTGCAAGTCTTTTCATAGACACTGATGGTGTATGTGTCAACCAGATGGTGAAGCATGAATCCATGATTCATATTTGGGGTCTTCCTCTCTGCCATCTGTTGTGTTCGTTGCTCATTGCTCGTCTAGTACTGCCTGTCACAAGCCCTGATACCTCAATACATATCATTGTGTGCTGATTGCCTAGTACTGCCTCAAACAGGTCCTGATACTTCCCAAAACACAAAGGTTCTCTTCCTTATCATGATGGTCCCTGGGGTTGAGGTAGTTCCACACAGGGAAAATATGTTCCTGTTATTTACCGTCAGGGAAAAGAGTATGATAATCTAACTGGATTTCTTTGAGTTGGAGGAATCTGAGCAGGCTCGAAATCATTACAAAGTATTAGGGGTTTGGGTCTGTGTGTGTGTGTGTGTGTGTGTGTGTGTGTGTGTGTGTGTGTGTGTGTGTGTGTGTGTGTGTGTGTGTGTGTGTGTGTGTGTGTGTGTGTGTGTGAGAGAGTGTGCTTATATATGTGTGTGTTAACCTGGAAAAATATTTGGGGGGAGAGAGAGAGAGAGAGAGAGAGATAGAGGCTGGATAAACCCAGCCAGGTCTCATAGGAAATAAGCTCAGTGTTGTCTTTAAGCTTCCTGGGGCCTCATAAGCACCATAGTCCTGCTACGACACATGGTCCTCATAAGACACTATGGCAGTTCTAACAAGAGCCGGCCACTGGGGGAATACAGGATTCACTGCTGCTCTCGTCCTCTCCTTCTCTCTCTGTTCACTCACTGAGAGTTAAGAATCTCAGAGGGAAAAAGGAGGGAGAGGAGAGGAGGTGAGAAGACAGGAAAAGGAAGCGAGACGGGAGAGAGATAAAAGAGAGAAAAGGGAGAGAGAGAAGTGGGGATGAGAAGAGAGAGAAATAAAGTGAGGAAAGAGGGAGAGGAGAGGTAGTGATAGAGTTGAGGAGAGAGAAAAAGAGAGAGAGAGAGAGAGAGACATATAGAAAAGAGGGAGAGAGGGGGAGAGAGAGAGAGACATATAGAAAAGAGGGAGAGAGGGGGAGAGAGAGAGAGACATATAGAAAAGAGGGGGAGAGAGAGAGAGACATGAGTGTTTACCATGCTCCAGGTACGAGGGTGTTCCTTCTGAGGAGTCTAGTCTCCTGGCCCGGCGACCGTGTTTAGAGTTGTTGTGGACAAACATGTTGTCAGAGACAGAGAGGACATGACCTTCCACACTCACCGTAGTAGACACCACCACCTGGGACAGACAGGGACAGGAGACACAGGAGACATAGAGGAAAAGGGGACACGGGGACAGACAAGGACACGTGAGAAAGGACCTGAAAGCTTCCATCCAACAGCATTACTGTCAGCATTACTGTTGTGTCTAAAGAAATTATGTAAAATTAGGTTTTTACGGTTCTCTCTCTCCCACCTGAAAGCGTCTCATGTCTCGTGGGTTCCCTGCGTTCTTCAGACAGTTCTGGTTGCACTTCAGGAAGAACTTGAGGAAGAACCTGGAGTGAGAGGAGACAAGAAAACAGTCTAAGACTCATGCATCAGTGCTTTTGGCTCCTGACTGAATAGAGCTGCATTTAATCAGATAGCAATGAGAGCAGCAGCAGCATGCCTGCCTGCCTGCCTGCCTGCCCGCCTGCCCTCTTGCCCGCTTGCCTGCGCATACCTGCCTGCGCGCATGTGGTAGCCTAGAGGTTAAGAGCATTGGGCCAGTAACTGAAAGGTTGCTGGTTCAAATCCCTGAGCTGATTAGGTGAAAAAATCGGTTGATGTGCCCTTGAGCAAGGCACTTAACCCTAATTGCTCATGTAAGTCGCTCTGGATAAGAGCGTCTGCTAAATGACAAAAATGTAAATGTTCCACACAGGGTGTTGTGATGCCTGCTTGCAAACCTCTCGCTTACAGCTTGTTGCCGCTCGCTAGCCCTTGTGGTAAACCAGGAAGCAGCTCCCTTACCAGTACACAGCCTCTTCTTCGCCAAGCCTCCTGCCAGGCCTCCTCGTGGCAACACACGTTAACTGGGCGTCCACGCGGCCCCAGGCTAACTCGGCAGGGGATCTTAGAGCTGCAGTGGTCCCCAAAGGTGCGGTGCGCAGGCCCACGTTATGTGGACGCCCTGGCATCGGCCAACCACTGTCCCACTGCCTTGTGGGTAAGTCTGGGAAGACAAAGGCTAGGGGAGCTCACCCTGAGAGATAAGCAACGTGCTGGCGGCGTGTGACAGGGGGTCCTCTGACAGCCTCCTGCAGCTGTTGGAAGGTGCTGGTCGTCTTGGATTTTTTTCTTGCCACCGGAGCCCATTTTCCAACAGCAAAGAAGTGATGTTGGGACAAGCACATCCCCCGCGTCACTATAAATAATTTCAGCATGCAGGTATCCACTACTGCTCTTCAGCGAGTTCCACCTAGATTTCCTGCACCATTAAAGTCTACTGGCGACAGGGTGCTTGGTAATTGGGGCAGGACTGAAAGATCAGGAAGCTCCTAGCAAGGCCCCTGCATAGTAGCGGCACATGGCTATTGGTCATCAGCAGCTGGGGTTTGAGTGGCAGCTGCTCCCGGCAGACCCCTGTACGTCTGAGGAGCCCATTTTAGGAACCACACCGCTCGACCCAGATGCTCGCTCTAAATCTCCTAGATAGGCTACCGCACCTATCAGGACATTCCGTTTCAGCAGCTGAAAACTAAATAAGAAGAAATATGTCCCCTTATGACTATCAACGTGGAACATAAGGACTCTCTTGGACTCGAGCCATGGCGCCGACCGACCCGAAACGAAGGACTCCACTCATCGCAGCAGAGCTGAAGCGCTATAACTTCGACATCGCTGTTCTCAGTGAGACCAGACTCCTGGGTGAAGGCTCACTCTGGGAAGAAAGAGGGGGCTACACCTTCTTCTGAAAGGGATACCACCCCAGAAGGGCAACATCTGCATGGTGTGTGCATCGCAGTGAAGAACTGCCTCCTGCCATATGTCATTGAAACACCAACTGGCATAAGCGAAAAGCTAATGTCACTCCGCATTCCCCTCGTTGAAAAGCAGCATGCCACTCTTCAGTGCTTATGCACCAACTCTACCACCAGAAGATGATGCAAAAGACCGTTTTTACGAGATGCTGGATGAGGCCCTCCACAGAGTACCCAAAAAGGACAAAATCTTGTTATTGAGTGACTTCAACGCAAGAGTGGGGAGATACTGTGAGATATGGAGTGGAGTCTTAGGACAGCGTTGGTCATGCCAATGCAAATGATTTGAGATTGCAACGCCTTTGTGCTGAACATGAACTCACCATCCCTAACACCATGTTCCAAATGAAAACCCACAATCAAAGCACTGGCACCTCATAGACTCATAGACTTCAGGTTTGCCCAGCCATCCTTAACCAAGCTGAGAATGAAGGTTCTCCCAGCCATCCTTAACCAAGCTCAGAATGGAGGTTCGCCCAGCCATCCTTAACCAAGCTCAGAACTAAGGTTCACCCAGCCATCCTTAACCAAGCTCAGAATAAAGGTTCGCCCAGCCATCCACCTCAGGAAGTCCACCAAAAAAAGCCTGCACTGTGCTCAACTTCAGGAAACAGAGGCACATAACAACTTATGCCGCTCTCTAGCAGAAAAACAAGAGAACATTGAGACTCTCCTGAATGCGGGATGGTCCAATTGACAACAAATGGTCCTCCCTAAGCACATCACTCTATGAGTCAGCAGCCCACTCCACTTTCCGAATGCACTGTATATTAACCGAAACAGAAAATTACTAGGCGTACACCATTTTCCCCTTTTGGTTTAATGAAATAAAAACATGTATCTCTCTCTCTCGTAATTACCAGAGAAACACAAATTACTGTGGAAAAGAATTTTAGTAAAATGGCTGCATGGCCTCTACGAGCCTGGCGGTGGAACATACGAGCAAACACACACACTCTCTGAGCCCGGCGACTGAAAAGAGGCGTAAATAATTACAATCACAGACGGCATATCCGTGATAAATTAATGATCACACGCTTTCATCAAATGATGTTAAAAAAAGAAACCAATAAAAAGCAGCAAAGATATAATAACGCGACTGTTAAGTAATATTGTTACAACTACAACTACTTCAGCTAATAAGAAAACTTCACCACACCTTAGAGTGAATTTCCAACTGTACGGAAGCTTCAAAGGGTCAATCCTCCGATCCACTGATCATGTAAGAACTGTGAGTTTGTGTCTGATGAGAACATCTAAACGCCCTTTCTCATTCTCTTCTGTGTCTCTTTGTCTTGATCATACTTTCTAACCTTTACCTCTTCAACCCTTCTTTTCTCACTCCTCTACTCTCCTACTGTCTCCTCTATTCTCCTACTGTCTCTATCCTCTATTCTCCTACTGTCTATCTCCTCTACTCTCCTACTGTCTCTCTCCTCTATTCTACTGTCTCTCTCCTCTATTCTCCTACTGTCTATCTCCTCTACTTCCTACTGTCTCTCTCCTCTATTCTCCTACTGTCTCTCTCCTCTATCTACTGTCTCTCTCCTCTATTCTACTGTCTCTCTCCTCTATTCTCCTACTGTCTCTCTCCTCTATTCTCCTACGTCTCTCTCCTCTATTCTCCTACTGTCTCTCTCCTCTATTCTCCTACTGTCTCTCTCATCTATTCTACTGTCTCTCTCCTTTACTCTCCTACTGTCTCCTCTATTCTACTACTGTATTCTCCTCTATTTCCTACTGTCTCTCTCCTCTATTCTCCTACTGTCTCTCTCTCTATTCTACTGTCTCTCCTTATTCTCCTAACTGTCTCTCTCCTCTATTCTCTACTGTCTCTATCCTCTATTCTACTGTCTCTCTCTTATTCTCCTACTGACTCTCTCTCTATTCTCCTATGTTCTCTATCCTCTATTCTCCTACTGTTCTACTCCTCTATTCTCCTACTGTCTACTCTCCTCTATTCACCAATTTCTCTCTCCTATATTCTCCTACTGTCTATCATCACTCTATTCTCCTATGATCTTCTTGCTCTATTCTACTGTCTCTCTCCTCTATTCTACTGTCTCTCTCCTCTATTCTACTGTCTCTCTCCTCTATTCTCTACTGTCTCTCTCCTCTATTCTCCTACTGTCTCTCTCCTCTATTCTCCTACTGTCTCTCTCCTCTATTCTCTACTGTCTCTCTCCTCTATTCTCTACTGTCTCTCTCCTCTATTCTCCAATTTCTCTCTCCTATATTCTTCTACTGTCTCTCTCCTCTATTCTCCTACTGTCTCTCTCTGCTCTATTTATGTCTCTCTACTCTATTCTAACTGTCTCTTCCTCTATTTCCTACTGGCTATCTCCTCTATTACTACTGTCTCTCTCCTCTATTCTCCTACTGTCTCTCTCTCTATTCTACTGTTCTCTCTCCTCTATTTCATACTGTCTCCTCTATTCTACTATGTCTCTCTACCTCTATTACTCCTACTGTCTCTATCCTCTATTATCATACTGTCTCTCTCTCTATTATCATACTGTCTCTTCCTCTACTCTCTACTGCATCTCTATTTCCTACTGCCTCTCCTCTATTTACTACTGTCTTCTCCTCTATTCTCATATGTCTCTTCCTTATTCTCCTACGTCTCTATCTACTCTATTCTCTACTGTATCTCTCCTCAATTCTCTACTGTTCTCTATTTCTACTGTCTCTTCCTCTATATACTAATGTATCTTCCTCTATTATCTACTGTATCTCTATTCTACTGTCTCTATCCTCTATTACTACTACTCTTCCTCTTTCTCTGTCTCTCTCCTATATTCTCTACTGTCTCTCTCCTTATTTACTGTACTCTCTCCTCTATTCTCACCTCTCTCCTCTATTATCCTACTGTCTACCTCTATTCTCGTTTCTCCTTATTTTATACTGTCTCTCTCTATTCTCTATGTCTATCTCCTTATTCTCCTACTGTCTCTCTCTCTATTTCTATGTCTCTCTATTTCTGTTCTCTATTTTCACGACCTCTCTCCTCTATTCTCCTATGTCTCTCCCTATTCTACTGTCTCTTCCTATATTCTATGTTCTCTACTATTTCCTACTGCCCCTCCCCTTTTTCAATGTCCTTCCTCTTCTCTTTTTTCCCCCCCCCCCCCTCTGTTCTCTCCTCATTTCCCACGTCTTTCCTCTTTCCTTTTTCCCTCTTCTATCTCTTCCTCTTTCTCTTCTCTTTTTTTTCTCTTTCTCTTTATTCCCTTCCCCTCTCCCTTTTCTCCCCGGGTCTCTTCCCCCCTTTCTCCCCTTCTATTCCCCTCCCCTTTTCCCCTTTCCCCCTCTTTCTTCTCTTTCTCCTTTTTCCCTTTTTTTTTCCCTTTTTTTTTCCTTTTCTTTCCCCCTTTTCCCTTTTCCCCCCTTTTTTTTCCCTTCTTCTCCTTCCCCCTTTTTCTTTTCCTTCTATTCTCTTTTTCCCCCCTTTTCTCTTTCCTCTATTTTCTACGTCTCTCCCTATTTTGTCTCTTCCCTATTTCCCTTTTTTTCCCCCCTATTTCTACTGGGCTTTCCCTTTTTCCCCCCTTTCTCCTTAATTTCCCCTTCTCCTTCTTATTCTCTCTTTTCTCTTCTTTTTTTCCCCCTTCCCTTTTTTCCCTTTTCCCCTACTTCTTCTCCCTTTTTCTAATTTTCTCTCCTTATTCCTTCCCCTTTTCCTCCTTTCTCCTCTGTCCTTTTCCTTATTCCCTTCTCTTTCCCTTTTCCCCCCTGTCCCTCTCCTTTTTCTTTACTGTTTTCCTTTTCCCCTTTTCCCCTTTTTTCTCCAATTTTTCCCCCTTTTTTTCCCCTTTTTCCCCTTCCCCTTCTCTTTTTATTCTCCCTTTTTTCCCCTTCTCCCCTCTTTCTCCTTTTTTTTCTCTCTTCTTTCTCCTCTTCTCTTTCCCCCCATTCTCCTATGTCCTCTCCTCTATTCCCCACTGTCCCTTCCCTTTTTCCCTTTTTTTTCCCCTTTTCCCTTTTTTCCCCTTTCCCCTTTTTTTCCCCATTTTTCCCCCTCCCTCTTTTTTTCTCTTTCCTTTTTCCCACCTCTTCCCTATTTCCCTTTTCTCTCCCTTTTCTACGTCTTTCCCCTTTCCCCATTTTTCTCTCTTTCCCATTTTCTCTCCTCTATTCCCTACCCCTTTTCCCCTTTCATGTCCCTCCCTTTTCCCTTTTTCTTTTCCCTCCTCTTTCTCTTTTTCTGTCCTTTCCTTATTTCCTTTTTCTTCCTCTATTCCTTTCTTTTCTATTCCCTGTCTCTTCCTCATTTCCCCTTTTCCTCCTCTTTCTCTTTCCCCTCTATTCTTCTTCTTCCTCTATTCCCCATGTCTCTTCCTTATTTCCCCATGTTCCTTCCCTTTTCCCCACTTCTCTTTTTTCCTATTTTCCCCCCTTTCCCCTTCTCTCCCCCTTCTTTCCCCCCCCCCCTTTTTTTTCCCCTCTCTCCCTTTTCTATGTCTCTTTCCCCCCTTTCCTCTTTTTCCCCCTTTTTTTTCCCTTTCCCCCTTTTTTTCCTCTTTTTTAAAATTTTCCCCCTTTTTTTAAGTTTTTTTTGGGGGGAAAAACCCGTTTTTAAAACCCCCCTTTTTTTTTTTAAACTGCCCCCCCCCCGCCCCCAAAATGAAAATTTTTGTTTTTACAAAAAAAAAAAAATTTTTTTTTTTTAATTTCCCGCCCAATTTTAAAAATTTTTTTTTTTTTTTTGGGGGGGAAAATTTTTTTTTAAAAGGGGGGGGGAAAATTTTTTTTTTTGTCCTTTTCCCCTTTTTTTTTTTTCCTTTTTTTTTTTTTTTTTTTTTTTTTCCCCCCCCGTTTCCCCTTTTTTCCTATTTTTCTTATTCTTTTTTTCCTTTTTTTGTTCTTCCCCTTTTTTCTTTTCTCTCCCCCTTTTCCCCCTTCTCCCCTTTTTTTTCTTCTTCTTTTTCCCCCCCCCTTTCCTTCTTTTCCCCCTTTTTTTTTTTTTTATTTTCGTTTCCCCACTCTAGGCCCCCCTAAATTTTTTTCCCACCCCTCTTTTTAAAAACCCTTTCTTTTTCTTTCCCCCCTTCTTTTTTTCTCCCCTCTTCCCCTTTTTATTTCCCCTATTTCCCCTTTGCCCCCTCTTTCCCCTTTTTCACCTCTTTCCCCCTACCCTTTCCCCCTTTTTAACTTTCCCCCTCCATTCCTCTTTCCCCCTCCCACTTTCCCCCTCAAACCCTATCTCTTTCCAAATTTTTTTCCCTCTCCCACCTTTCCCCCTTCTCCCAAACTCTTTTCCCCCCTTCCCCCTTTTCCCCTCCCTTTTTTTCCCCTACTGCCCCCTCTTTTCCCTCTCCCAAATTTTTCCAAATTTCCCCCATTCTCACCCCTTTCCCCCAAAACTTTCCCCTTCCCTTTTTCCCCCCTTTCCCCTTTCCCCTTTTTTAACTCTTCCCATCCCCAAATCTTTTCCCCTTTCCCCCCCCTTTTTTCCCCTTTTTCCCCTTTTTTTTCCCTTTTCCCCGTTAAAATTTTTTTCTTTTTTATTTTTTCCCCCTCC